TGCCTGACCACCAACCTGATCCAGCGATGTGCATGACAGCCTTGGGTCTCTCCTTCTTCATTGGCTGAGACAGCAGCGGTAGCCATTGGCTCCCACTACTGTCAACCACAGCCAGTGAGCCAATGAAGAGAGAGTGGGGGCCACGCCACGCTCCGTGTGTCAATGGACACATGGAGCAGCAGTTGTGGAGCAAGCCTGCTCAGATGTCCCCATGGCAAGCTGCTTGCTGTGGGGGCACTTGGCAGTAGGGAGGGGCCAGGAGCTCAATTGGGGGACCCTAGAAGAAAAGTATTGAGGCTGCTTTGTGCAAAACCACTGCACAGAGCGGGTAAGTATAGCATGGTTGTTATTAAAAAAAAAAACCAAAAAACAAACAAACTGTTAAAAGAGAGGTATAGGATTTTTTTTTTATTATACTTACCTAGGTGGATGCAACAGTGATCCCCTGCTGGTTCTAAGGGTGAGAGCTGAGTGATCAAACACCACTGATCACTCAGTTCTCCCTGTCGTTCTGAGCAGAGAGACCATGTTGCAAAAATGAATACACCCCAATAAAAGTCTTAGGAGCAAAGCTAAATTTTAGACAACAAAATCCTAATAACAAGAATTCAACTACAGGTGAGTCTAATTATTCATTAAACAGGTGTCCAGCAGACAGTTGATTAAAAAAGGGTGTTACTGGGTGCATGCGCGGAGGCTGAAGAGGACAGACGTCTTCTAGCCTCACTCTGCTTCACCACTCTCTCTTCCAGCTCCTCCGGAGTTCACATAAGTCTGTACTCACAGAGGAGCATTGGTACCCGACTCAGCGATCCCTGACGATCCTAATGGGCAAAATCGGGCATCAGAAGGATCCTCTGTCACGTGTCAAGTAGCCGAGGGCTACCCACATGAAATGGTATGTGTCGCGGCCCTCATCCCAGGCCTCCAGTAACCACACTACCCCGATGACGGCACTGCCTCAGTGGACTTTAGAGGGGATATAATTCAAATCTATAGTGATTTGTCCCCTATCACATTATCTAAAAGACGTACACTTAGTCCACTCACTCTCCACTTACAGAAGCATCGTATTGTATACAGATAGGGCTTTCCATTCAGCTTGATAGTCACCAGGGATAGTACCCAACACACAATTAGAGATCTTCAGGAAGGAGAGGCGTTTCTGAGTAATCAGGGCCTGCCTCCTCACCCGGATGAAGCCTTGGCACTACCTCTACCCAAACTGAGAGCAGCCAATACTCCTAATAAGATGTGGACACTGGCTAGATCTAATAACAATATATGCCTACCGATCCTCAAAGGTCTCCTGCACCCCGGTTATCTTCTGTCACCTGATGTCATCATGCGAAATGTAGCTGAAGTCACTTAAGACTTAATGTCTATTGCTTTGTCTTGCCCGACAATTCGGATATCCCATTATGGATAAATCCGACACCCCATCAGGATCTTTTCAGATAATGTCATGTTAATTGCTGTTTATTTTGGAGGATAGAAGTGAAGTCTTCACCTGATTTTCACCCTTCCTATGCTATCCCAAATATCTCTACTGCTGTAGATGCCTGGGTAGCCTAGGCTGCTCAGGCCTTCTCCATGCTTTGGTCTTACATTATTTTTACAGATATTTTCTTGATTTGTTTGTTCTATGTCTGTTGGTTTTGATGTGACACGCTGCATGCGTCTTACTCAGTCAATGTTTTCTGTGTTACTGTTTGTTGGAACCGCATGGTCTATTTGTCATATTATCCTGCATACATTTGCTTAATGTTCCGATTACACCAACATGCCTTTACAACTATACTCTTTCAATGTTAAAGTTTTAAATTCAATGAGGAAGAGGTTGATAGCTCTTAGGGAATTCTGTCAGTCCAAAGCTGATATTATCCTTATTCAGGAAACACATTTGAAAAAGGGAAGCTCATTTAACTTTGCCCTCAGATATTTTCCTTTAGCATACTCTGCTTTAGCCAGCACAGGTAAAGCAGGTGTTGCTATTCTCATCAAAAAAGGCTGTTCTATACGGGTGATATCTTTGGTACTGGACACACAAGGTAGATTTATACTACTGCAATGTCAATATAGTGATGTCTATATCTCAATCATTAATGTGTATGCTCCAAATGCTAATCAATTGGTGTTCTTCAAGGATACTATTTCTCTGCTTTTAGCTCCATCGCAGCCTTTTACGATCATTGGCGGGGACTTCAATTTATCTATGTCAGCTACACGCGATAGGAGATCTCTTCAGGGCCAACTGCCCTCAAAACATGTCTTAAACAGTCTACATCCTTCCGTCAATGGATCAGAGGTTATAAGCTGTTTGATATTTGGAGAATACAACATCCGAGTGCTAAACAGTTTTCTTTCTTCTCCCCGGTTAACCACATCTACACTAGACTATATTACTTTTTACTTTCATCCCCCCTACGTAAACACACAGTTAGCTCCGATGTTGTCCCCAGCTCATGGTCGGATCACTCTTTTTTAGCTTTAGATCTGTTTTAAGATTGACCACATTCTCGAACTTGCCATTGGCGCCTAAAGGACACACTTTTGCGTCTCACGGATGTCAGCGCTTCCACTTCACAAGAATTGCGTGAATTTTTTTAACTTAATACAGGATCTGTGTCAGCATCCTCAACTCTGTGGGAAGCCCACAAAGAGTTTATTAGGGGTCGCTTTATAATGGAAAGCTCAAGTTTTAAGAAATCTATGCTCCACCAGAAAACTGGTCTTATGACTCAATTATCTCAAGCAGAAAAAAAACTTATATTCGCCCTCTTTGCCTATACTTCGACTAGTGGTTCAACTTAAAGATCAACTTAGGACACTTGAGGCTAGCTCTATAGCAAAGAAACTGCTATGGATGAAACAGAAGTTTTATCAATACACTAATAAACCTCATAGGATGTTGGTTAATAAACTGAAAGCACATTCGATAACTTTCGCTCCTGATTTTCTGTTTCAAATAGATGGCACCCCTACCTTTTGCCCTCAACAGATAGCCCGAGTGTTTGGAGACTTCTATTCTTAAGCTTTATAACTGCCTATCACCGGATATACACCCCCCTTTCCATAAAGAAGCCTTTGACACGTTTTTCTCAGCTATTCATCTCCCTATAGACTAATCCTAAATGCACCTATTGCCATGGAGGAACTAAGTGCAGTTGTTAAAGAGCTGCCTTCACACAAAACCCCGGGACCAGACAGGTTTTCCTACACATATTATAAGGAATTCATCACAGATATCGGCCCTGCATTATTGAAATTTTTTACTCCTCTGAAATTGAATTAGGCTATATTTATCCAATCCACACATGTTCATTATGAAGCCATTTTCACTATACATGACCTCTATCTCCCCCCCCCCCCCCCCTTTACTTCAATCCATGAAATTTACCCTCAAAGATTGGTCAACTTGTGTGAAAACCCAGCAACTACTGTCCATGTGCTCTCCATTGTTAAACATTTTATATAATCTGGAGCTTCCAGGTAATCTGTCATACCCACAGATGAACCCTTGGGCAATCAATGGGATATTTCAACTCCATCATCTGATCAATCCTGTATTGCACAGGATTCGGTCATTTGAGGAGATTAGAGAGTGGAAACCCACAATATCTGTATTGGCTAGATTCACCTACTGTATCTACAATTCCGTCACTTCTTCCACTCCTTGGAATCCTCTTTAATGCTAGATCAACCCACAGATTTTGAGAGGATAGTCATTAAAGGTCCCTCCCAACAACATCTTATCACCTCTCTCTATAAACTGGTTTCACAGTAAGGACTCTCTTGTTGAGAGGCCTCACCGTTACATGAAGAGATGGGAGGATGAACTTCAATGCTCAATTTCTTTGAAGTGTTGGCAAGTGATATGGGATTCTGCTGATAAGACTTCTCGATGTGTTGTATATAAAAAAAAACCTATATAAAGTATTGATGCATTGGTACAAGACCCCTGTAGTACTACATGCGATGAACCCTAATCTGTCTGACAAGTGTTGGAGATGCATGGAAGGAGTAGGTACATTGGCACACATTTTTTGGTTCTGGGCTATGGTCAGAAAGGTATTGGAACAAGTACTCAATGTTATCCTTCCCCTAGACCCGCTACACCATCTTTTGGGGTTATATGATGAACAAAAGCAAAAAGGGTGCACTCCCATCGTGCATTACCATGGTGCACCACGTGTTTATTGTGAAATCAAATAGATATATACTCACAAACCAAAGGAAAACACAAGCAGAATAAGTGGTCTGCAATGGCAGTCCAATACAATGCTGTGCCCTAAATAGGGATAAGCTGACGCATTTCGGGAGATGACCCCCCTTCTTTAGAGCTCTGTATTTTCCTTTGGTTTGTGAGTATATATCTATTTGATTTCACAATAAACACGTGGTGTACCATGGTAATGCACAATGAGAGTGCGCCCTTTTTGCTTTTGTTTTGTTTGCTTTTGTTTTTGTTGCTTTTGGGGTTACCCTTTAGGGGTATCCCCAAGCTTTCTAAAAGGTTGGGAGTGCATGTTTTGATGGCCGCTAGAAGGGTGATACCACGATTCTGGGAAACAGTAGATGTTCCCATGCTAAATCATCTTTTAAGAGCGATCTCTGAAATCAGGGAAATGGAATTTCTCACATCTCTAGTGGGTGAACACTCAGGTCACTTTCACTCTGTTTGGGATTTATGGGATCACTCTCCCTTTGGTAGAATTCCTTCTTCCCCCCCCCCCCTTATATATTCCAGACACTTTTCCAAGTAATATGCCGTTGATGAATAATGTAATCCAATGATATGCAGGTTCACGTAGATCTATGTTTTTGAATTGTGCAGACTACCATGCTATTTATTTCTGTTCAGATTTCTCTTGATTCTGTTTTCTTTTATATTAATGCTTTTATTGCACGTTTACACTTAAAGTGGTGTTGTTGTAATTATGTTCTGTTTTGGAAAAAAAATGGGCATTGGCCCTCAATAAAAATTTACAGTATTACAAAAAAAAGGGTGTTACTTAACAAAGAAAGCCCCTGCCCATTTCATGCTGTCAGCAATGGTAGCACATAGAAGAGAAATGTCACAAGGCCTGAGAAAGAAAATAATTTCTTTAGACAAGAAAGTTGAAGGCTACAAGATCAGCAAAGCTTTACTTATCAGTCAGAATACTGTAGCAAAAGTGATACAAATATTTAACAAAGATGGAACTGCAACCATCTCACAGAGATGTCCAGGCCATCCCCGGAAGTTAACACCTCGACAGCAGTGTCTTCTGATGAGAAGGGTTGAAGAAAATTGGATCATGCTTTGCTGGGTTTTTTCCTTCCTCTGGATCAACTGTGGGTGTAGGATTATAACCTTTTTTTATGGTTGAACTGGATGACTTTTTGTCTTTTTTCAGACAGACTAACCATGTAACTATGTAAAATCACCATACAAGTTCACTGCAATTAGCTGAAGAGGTAGAAAGCCAAACTGGGGTGATTGCTTCCTGTGACACAATACGGCATACACTGCAGAGGAATGGCATGCATGGGTGTTGTTCATGAAGGAAGCCTTCTCTAAAACCCTTGCACAAAAAAGACTGCCTAGATTTTGCCAAGGCCCATGCTGAAAAAGATGAAGACTACTGGGACTCTGTACTCTGGAGTGATGAGACCAAGATAAATGTTTTTGGAATGAATGGCTTCAAAACTGTATGATGTTGCAAAGGTGAGGAGTACAAAGGAAAATCCATGGTGCCTACAGTTAAACATGGTGATGGCAGTGTTCTTCTGTGGGGCTGCATGAGTGCTGCTGGTGTCGGGGAGCTGCATTTTATTGATGGTATCATGAATTCACAGATGTATTGCTCTGTATTGAAAGAGAAGATGCCGCCATCACTCTGTCAACATGACAATGATTCAAAACACATGTCTAAGGCCACTGTTACATTTCTGAAGAAGAACAGAGTAAAAGTGATTCAGTGGCCAAGTATGTCTCCTGATCTGAACCCAATCGAACACCTATGGGGAATTGTGAAGAGACAAGCTGAGCATCACTCTCCATCTAGCATCCAGGCTGAGCTTTTGGACAGTCAGAGGTGCAAGCTGGCAGCATCGGATGGACCGAAACATGATATCCCAGAGTTGCTCTATTGGATTTAGGTCAGGTGACCGTGGGGGCCATTCAATGGTATCAATTCCTTTATCCTCCAGGTATTGCCTGCATACTCTCGCCACATGAGGCCAGGCATTGTCATGCACCTGGAGGAACCCAGTTCCCACTGCGCCAGCGTAGGGTCTGACAGTGGGTCCAAGGATTTCATCCCAATACCTAATGGCAGTCATGGTGCCATTGTCTAGCCTTTAGAGGTCTGTGTGTCTCTCCATGGATATGCCTCCCTAAACTATCACTGACCCACCACCAAAATGGTCATGCTGAACAATGTTACAGGCAGCATAATATTCTACATGGCTTTATCAGACCCTTTCACGTCTGTCACATGTGCTCAGGGTGAACCTGCTTTTACCTGTGAAAAGCATAGGGTGCCAGTAGCGGACCTGCCAATTCTGGTGTTCAATGGCAAATGCCAATCAAGCTCTATGGTGCTGGGCAATGAGCACAGGGCCCACAAGAGGATGTCAGGCACTCAAGCCACCCTCATCAAGTCTGCTTCTGATTGTTTGGTCAGAGACATTCACATCAGTGGCCTGTTGGACAGGGGCGGACTGACCATTTGTAAACTTGGGCACTGCCCGAGGGCCTGGGGTCAGTAGGGGGCCCCATGAGATGCCCCTGGTACCTTTTCCATAGGCTTTTTTGAGTTTGGGCAAGGACACAGGGGCTCCATGATCCTCTATTGCCCCGGGGCCCCATGAGTTGTCAGTCCGCCCCTGCTGTTGGAGGTCATTTTGTAGGGCTCTGGCAGTGCTCATCCTGTTCATCCTTGCACAAAGGAGTAGATACCTGTCCTGCTGATGCATTAAGGACCTTCTACTGCCCTGTCCAGCTCTCTAGAGTAACTGCCTGTCTCCTGGAATCTCCTCCATGCTCTTGAGACTGTGCTGGGAGACACAGCAAACCTTCTGGCAATGGCACTTATTGATGTACTATGCTGGAGAAGCTGGACTGCCTGTGCAACCTCTGTAGGGTCCAGGTATCCCCTCATGCTACCAGTAGTGACACTGACCCTAGCCCAGTGGTGGGCAACCTTTTTTTTCAACTGAGCCAAATCTCGCCAAAACCACGATTGAAATTTATTTTGAGAGCCACATTTTTAAAACTGAAAATACATCCCCCATATAGTAAGTCATCCCCCATAGTAATTCATCCCCCATAGTAATTCATCCCCCATATAGTAATTCATCCCCCATAGTAATTCATCCCCCATATAGTAATTCATCCCCCATAGTAATTAATCCCCCATATAGTAATTCATCCCCCATAGTAATTCATCCCCCATATAGTAATTCATCCCCCATAGTAATTCATCCCCCATAGTAATTCATCCCCCATATAGTAATTCATCCCCCATAGTAATTCATCCCCCATATAGTAATTCATCCCCCATAGTAATTCATCCCCCATAGTAATTCATCCCCCATATAGTAATTCATCCCCCATATAGTAATTCATCCCCCATAGTAATTCATCCCCCATATAGTAATTCATCCCCCATATAGTAATTCATCCCCCATAGTAATTCATCCCCCGTATAGTAATTCATCACCCATAGTAATTCATCCCCCATAGTAATTCACCCCCCATATAGTAATTCATCCCCCATAGTAATTCATCCCCCATATAGTAATTCATCCCCCATAGTAATTAATCCCCCATATAGTAATTAATCCCCCATAGTAATTCATCCCCCATATAGTAATTCATCCCCCATAGTAATTCATCCCCCATATAGTAATTCATCCCCCATAGTAATTCATCCCCCATAGTAATTCATCCCCCATAGTAATTCATCCCCCATATAGTAATTCATCCCCCCTATAGTAATTCATCCCCCCTATAGTAATTCATTCCCCATAGTAATTCATCCCCCATATAGTAATTCATCCCCCCTATAGTAATTCATCTCCCCTATAGTAATTCATTCCCCATATTGTGTCAATTCACTTACCTTTGCTCCGCGCGTTCCTCTCGCCGTGTTCCCACACCGTTCCGGTCTTCAGGGCGGACTGTGAGAGGAGAGGAGTTCGTCACGCTGCCCCGCCTACATCCTGACAGCCAATGTTTGCCACGCTCCACGGGCCGGATTAAAAGGTCCTCCGGGCCGTATAGGGCCCGCGGGCCGTAGTTTGCCCATTGCTGGGCTAGCTGCAGAGTCCTGACTTTTGGGGCGGCCGCCCGAGAGGAGGGAGGGGAGCGGGCGCCCGGCACACAGAAGAGCCGCATTAAACTGTGTAAAGAGCCGCATGTGGCTCGCGAGCCACGGCTTGCCGACCACTGCCCTAGCCAAATGCAAAATTAGTGAAAAACAATCAGAAAAGATGAGCAGGGAAAAAATTGTCAGTACCTGTAAAACCATTCCTGTTTATTGGGGTCATCTCATTATTGCCCTTCTAGTGCACCTGTTTTTAATTTCATTAACTTCAAAGCAGCTGAAACTGATTAACAACCCCCTCTGCTACTTAACTGACCAGATCAATATCCCCGGAGTTTAATTGACTTGATGCTATACTCTGATTAAAATGTATTTGTGTAATTTTTTTAGCAGTATATATATATATACACACACACACACATCTATATGATCAGTAAATACCTACCAGATTCAATCAATCTGATCATTGAAATAAAAATTCAAACATATTACTGCTCTAAACTGCATAGTCTGGCCAAATGGATTCGAGAGTACCGTATTTAAATAGAACATGGACTTACTCAAAATAATGACTGGAGCTGCAGATACCTTTGTGTTGCCTCTTCTTCCCCATAGTGGCACATTCTAGTGGAAAAGCTCCAAGTTCAGTAACAAGTGACAAGTGGAAGTTGGATCTAAAATAAGGTATGTATAAAGGTTTTCTTTAAAAATATAATTAGTATGTTAGGAGAGACAAGGGAAAGCAAAATATATGCAAATTAAACTTCAGTTTTAAGCAAATTTTCCTTTGAAAAATGACTGTCATAGAACAGATTTCAAATGTAAAAAGGTCTGGTTCACAAGGACAGTGATGACTATTTTGCTTCAACACAATAAAAATACATTTTAAAAGGTTTGATCAGAAGATCTGAATTTTGACCCCGATTTGTGGATGTAGGCTAGACAAATCATTGACATAAATAATACTTTTATTGATAATAATTATATATATACTAGCCTCATTGTAGTAATAATAAAAAATAAAAATGCAATATATACAAATATTTAACATTTCTTCCTCTATTCCTGTACACTTTAGTTGGTTGAAAATTCACAAGTAAATACTGTTTAAACTACCCAGTGTCTAATTAGTACAATGATTTTCATTCACCATGTTATTACCTACAGTGTCTGGAGATGATACCTTTGCTGGGTCAATGAAGGTCACAGTGCTACATCCGTGTATGTGTATCAGTTATTTTATGTCATCATCCCCAGTTTCACCAAAATTACCTTTCCTTTTCTTCATGCTGTCAGGTGGGCGGATGAGTAATTTTTCTTGCAGCTGGGAAAATATATGACGTCCACTTGAATTTGTAGCTTTTTCCTATTTGTATTGTGGGAGATGCTTTGCTTTTACATGCACCTGTTGTGTGCATGTCTAAAAGAGAGCACTTGAGAGACCACCTTTATCAATCCACAAGAGGCCTTTGGTGCCAGCTTCTGCTTCAAATTATCTCCACGTGCCACTTATGTATAACACAGTTTGCCTACAAGTGTTGCAAGGGGTTTTGTTCATTTGTCCAAGTTTTTTGTTTATTCTTTTATACAATACATACATGGATCAGGAAATCTCTTTCATAAAAATACAGATGGCTTAATTAGTCTGAGGAAGTGCGTCAGATGTAGGAATTAGGGTTCATGTTTGCTGCCACCATGGGTTTGAGATGAATCCTGGAAGTTCGAGACTTGTGGTCCCAGCTAATTTTTGTGCAGATCTCCTAGGAGAATTTTTTAAAACCATATAGTGCTGCATGGTCTTTGAGCTATGGCCAACAGCTTTGAAAGGGCCAAAAAGTGTACTTTTTTTAAGTCAGCCCAATCACCATAAAAGTAAGGGGGCACAGAGCAGTGTAAAATTACAATCTGCCAAACAGCATTAGGATCACTTAGAATATGGTACTTTAAATGATAAGTTCAAGGCAAAAAATAAATAAATAAATAAAAGATGCTATTTTTTTGCAGGTAAAAAAATGTGCATTTACTACTTTTTTTTGAGCCTGGAAAGCATTGTACCAGTGATCAGCAGATTGTTGGTGCCATGCAGGACTCCTGTAAACCTTTCAGTGTATTTGTGTGCTTGCACCTCATATGGACTCAACAGTGCTGTGGTAATTCAATGAGAACTACAAGCTGACAGCCACAAAGACTGTCAGATCTTGTAGTTCATTCATTCACAGAACTCTGAATGATGCGGCCGAGTGGGCAGAGCCCCTGTTTTACAAAAAAAGGGTGGAACATGTAACATGTTCCCAAAAGTGAAGTTATCTTTTAATTCTGTTTGCTAACTCTTTGGGCAATCAATCACTTTCAATCAAACATTTGCCAGGTTTTTTTGCTTTTATAAGTGGGCGCTTTTTGCACTTTCCTATTATTTCGTGCTTGGTTTGAGGTCAGCGGTAATTTTGAATTGCTGTCCCCTCTATAGCAATTTTTTTTCCTGCACTTCTTATTAAAAAATGGGTCTTTTATTAGGTTCAGGGTATTCAAAGTGGAGCATTCATTGTTATTGACTAATAAGAACAAATACCA